TATATATGTATGTATATATGTATGTATGTATGTATGTATGTATGTATGTATGTATGTATATACTGCCTGTCTGTCTCTATGAGTCAAACCAATTTACACGCGTATGTCTCTATAGTTCTGAAACTATAGTATATTCAATTATGTATTTTCATTCGTGTTTTATTCACGCTGTTTTTACCGTCAGATTACAAAATGATTAAAAATATGCATATAATTTAAAAAAGAAGTGAAATGTTCATATTATCGTAAGATTTTTGAAGAAAATTCTAAAATAATTTATTAGATATAAATATAAACAAATTACTATAATAATCATTTAGTGTGGGTAATTCCAAATTTATTGACTAAACAATATGCGATACTTAAAAAAAATTATCACATTTAGATTAGTATTTCGTTGTTTAAAACTTTGTAGCTTTTATATAATTTTATTTTTTTAAATTAAATTTCCAAAACTATTTAGTGTGTTCTTACCGTAAACTCACAATTATGAATTTTAGAAACAATCTATCGAAATAAGTGAACGTGTTCAAGTTTGAAAGATTTTAGCTTTCAAAAAAAATTTAACATGCCTAAAAATATGTATTGAAATACTTTTATTGCTTACAATTCATTAAGATATTTTGATTACACTTCCTTTGAGTCCCACAGTGGACAGATCGTTAAGACACGGTTCTCAGCAGATCACCGAAGTCAAGCATCACTGGCTACGGTCAGTGTGCGGGTGGGTGACCACTTGGATCAGTCTGCGTAGGGACCGAGAGTGTGCGGTATTGGACCTCGTTAAACTGTGCTACCGTAAAGGGCTCGACTTCGCACGCAGGTCGTTGGGCTTCCGAAGCGGGGGTGCCGTCCCTCCGCAGAGGATCAAAATTGTGATGGCATGTCTTCGGATCATCCTCCGGAATGTTTCCCAGACCGTCGCCAATAGCCCATTGTGCAGCTCTAGTGCGACGTAAATTAACAACAGCAACAACACTTCATTTGAAGAGCTTACTGCTATGGAAGAAGTTTAAAGAATTCCAATTAAAGATTCGTAATTTAATACAATTATGAGCCCTTTTATTTAAGCTATGTAATCTGTAGTAGTTGGTCTTAAAAACCGTTTTAAAGGTATTATAGAGGTAGTGAAATCCCAAAGTATTATATTCTATTTCCAATATATAGATATATGTATAACCAAGAACGCTAGAAATTAAAATTTAAAAAAAAAAATTTAAATTTTTTTATATAACTACTTAATCGGGAGACCTATGTCTAAAATAACTCATTTCAAATCGCCTTATTTATGTTTTATCATTAAATTAAACGATAAATTGAAATTTGAAAAGGAAATCATTATTAATAATCGAAGAAAGTGATCAGCGTTTGCCTCTCTTAGGAATGGATTTTTAAAAAAATAACAACTGGATTTTAATACCATTTGCAAAAATCTAACAGGATTATAATCGATTCGGTGCACTAGGATGCTGAAAATGGGGCCCCAGCCCAAAATGTTTTGCCAAAGGTGTTGCAAAGCCTAGCGAAAATATTGTATAAAGTAGCAACTAAATATTTTCTAGGTATAATGCTGCGTTGAAAATTATTTATAAATATTTAATATAACTCGTAAAATATCATTTTTATGTTACTATGTATATGGTCGATGAAAGTGATATAATAAAAAATTGTCGCAAAAATGTATTGAAAGAACGAAATAAATATTTATCAAATTTATAACGAAATCTGTTTGGAAAATACTTTCTTTTTTTATACACTATTATCTACAATAATGATACTTTCATTGAAATATTTAAAAAAAAAATCTTTTCTTTTACAGTTTATTCTTTTCCAAAGCTTTAAAATATATTTATTACACCAAAAAAATTCTAAATAAAATAATAAATGTGATTTCAAAGAAGCAATTCCCATTTTTCGTTTGCCTTTTCGCGTTAAATTAAATACCTTTCCTCAGGCTTATTTGTATTTTTCAATATCGAAGCATGAGAATTCTTACAGAGATATTTAGCTTTGTTTTTCTTTGTTCTTAGAGATTCCTTTGTCTCATCTTTCTCTTTGACAAAAGAAGGAAAAGTACACTCAATTTTATATCAAGAAAAATACTAATTGAAAAAGATCACTTATTCTAAAATAATTTAATTTCCGTCTTGCGTAAATAGAGATTTCGGAATTTTGAAGCGCGTGCATATTAATATGAAGAATGCATTGCTAATAAGCTTTTCATTGATTTGACATTCAAGACAGGTAGAAGAAACAATAGTATTCAATTTATTCCACACAACTATGGTAATAAAAATGAAAAAGAGAGATTCTTAAACTATGTCAACATTTTCTGTTCTGAAAGAATGCGAATTTTTCATTAATTCGAACATTTAGAATAATTTTTACTTCAAAATAAATGGTTGATTAAAATAATTTATAATGAATTTTCTTTTTATAAATGTGATAAAATTCAATTTACTTGTAATTTTAATTAAAATATTAAACAAAGAACTACTTTTCACTACTTTCGATTTTAGGTTAAATTTTATTTAAATAAGGCTTATTATTATTTAAAATGTATGATAAAAAGTCCAAAGATATTTCTAGAGAGCACTATAATTATGTTTTACTTGCTTCGTTGATAAGTTACTTCCGTTGATACTTTTATATACGCTATTTTTAATAAAATACATTCGTAACTATACATTCTAAATTACTCATATTTTCCTATCGTTCAAAACTTCTTAGGTAGCACAAACAATATTGAAAATTTTATTTCTGAATACAAAAATTTCGCTATAGTTTATCAATATTTTAAAGCACTTTTGATAAATTATTTTTTAAGGAAATTAAACAGCTGTTTTAAATTTAGATCTATAAATTAGGTATTTATTATATTTATTGAGCTTGCCCTATCCAGTTTATTAGACTACATATGATGTTTATATAGTTAATTAAATGTTACCTTTTATTTATTTTAATATTACACGATTTCTTTTATTCGTTTTGAAAATTTGTTGTACTGTAGTTTCTTAATTGCAAATGAAAATTAGAAGGGGTATGCAAATATATAATTATACCATAATATGCTAAACGACATATTTATCCAAAGAATATGGTTGACTTAACCAAAAACAATTTGAAACACATGTGAAAGTTGTGTGAAGATGATAATGAGCATGGATAGTGTTAAAAAAATTCCGTTTGTTGGGTTTTTAAGTGATTTATAGAAATATTAGTCAAATACGAACGATTACTTTTAGACAAATACGAGCGAATATTCTGATAAATTTTAAGCATTATTTTTTGATTAAAATTATCAATAAATAACAATTATTGAATTCATTTTAGCGCAGCTTTTAACTGTGTGGTGGGACATTTCTTATGCATTATGGTTAGTTCCCACTAAGCGATACCAAATATTGCTTTATTTGGGATACTATTTCACGATAAGAAATTATGCTTCGTATTGTGAAATCGTATCATTTTGCTAAGACTGAGTAATTGCTTGATATGGGATGCTGTTTCATATGAAGAAACAGCGCTTCTTAATGCAAAATTGTATCATTTTGCTACTAATAGGGATGAAAATTGTTCTCTGGGAGCGCCAGCGTTAGACCTGAGTCAAGCAGTAACAAATCAAGTTGTCAGAGCCGAAGACGGCTTCGCGAAAATGGTGTAGTTGAGGAATATATTTGAAATCCTTATATATAT